AGGGTTGTCTCTACTCCCCTTCTTGAACAAGGGGACAACATTTGCTATCCTCCAGTCTTCTGGCACTATTCCTGTAGATAATGATGACATAAAGATCAAAGCCAAAGGCTGTGCAATCTCCTCCCTAGCTTCCCAGAGAATCCTAGGATAAATCCCATCCGGCCCAGGGGACTTATCTATTTTCACACTTTCCAGAATTGCTAACACCTCCTCCTTATGAACCTCAATCCCGTCTAGTCTAATAGCCTGTATCTCGGTGTTCTCCTCAACATTATTTTTTTTTTTTCCTGTGTGAATACTGATTGAAAAATATTCATTTAACGCCTCTCCTATCTCTTCGGACTCCGCACAACTTCCCCCTACTGTCCTTGACTGGCCCTAATCTTACTCTAGTCATTCTTTTATTCCTGACATACATATAGAATGCTTTAGGGTTTTCCGTGATCCTACCTGCTAAAGACTTCTCATGTCCCCTCCTGGCTCTTCTTAGCTCTCTCTTTAGGTCCTTCCTGGCTAACTTGTAACTCTCAAGCACCCTAACTGAGCCTTCAAGCCTCATCTCTACATAAGCCACCTCCTTCCTCTTGACAAGAGATTCAACTTCTTTAGTAAATCACGGTTCCCTCGCTCGACCACTTCCTCCCTGCCTGACAGGTACATACTTCTCAAGGACACGCAGAAGCTGTTCCTTGAACAAGCTCCACATTTCAATTGTGCCCAGCCCCTGCAGTTTCCTTCTCCATCCTATGCATCCTGAATCTTGCCTAATCGCCTCATAATTGCCTTTCCCCCAGCTATAACTCTTGCCCTGCGGTATATACCTATCCCTTTCCATCGCTAAAGTAAACGTAACCGAATTGTGGTCACTATCACCAAAGTGCTCACCTACCTCCAAATCTAACACCTGGCCTGGTTCATTACCCAGTACCAAATCCAATGTGGCCTCGCCTCTTGTTGGCCTATCTACATACTGTGTCAGGAAACCCTCCTGCACACATTGGACAAAAACTGACCCATCTAAAGTACTCGAACTATAGTGTTTCCAGTCAATATTTGGAAAGTTAAAGTCCCCCATAACAACTACTTTGTTACTTTCACTCCTATCCAGAATCATCTTTGCAATCCTTTCCTCTACATCTCTGGAACTTTTCGGAGGCCTATAGAAAACTCCCAACAGGGTGACCTCTCCTTTCCTGTTTCTAACCTCAGCCCACACTACCTCAGTAGACGAGTCCTCATCAAACGTCCTTTCTGCCACCGTAATACTGTCCTTGACTAACAATGCCACACCTCCCCCTCTTTTACCACCTTCCCTGATCTTACTGAAACATCTAAACCCCGGAACCTGCAACAACCATTCCTGTCCCTGCTCTAGCCATGTCTCCGAAATGGCCACAACATCGAAGTCCCAGGTACCAACCCATGCTGCAAGTTCACCCACCTTATTCCGGATGCTCCTGGCGTTGAAGTAGACACACTTCAAACCATCTTCCTGCCTGCCGGTACACTCCTGCAACCTTGAAACCTTATTCATGACCTCATTACTCTTAAGCTCCTGTACACTGGAGCTACAATTCAGGTTCCCATCCCCCTGCTGAATTAGTTTAAACCCTCCCGAAGAGCATTAGCAAATTTCCCACCCAGGATATTGGTACCCCTCTGGTTCAGGTGTAGACCATCCCGTTTGTAGAGGTCCCATCTACCCCAGAATGAGCCCCAACTAGTCTGGTAAGTAAATTTACTTGCATTCCCTTAAGCTCAAAGTAACACAGCAGTTGGTAGTAAGGCCAATAAAATATGGAAAACTTACATAAGTACGTAATGGATTTTAAGTAATTGTTACTTTTAAAAATGGCATCATAAGTGACGTGTCACTGGGTCAAAATTGTGGAGCGCTCTGCCAAATGGCACTGTGGGTCTACCTAAACCAAATGGACTGCAGGGATTAAGGAAGGCAGTTCATCAATAACTTCACTTGGGCAACTAGCAACGGTTATAAACTCTGGCTCAGCCAGCAACGTGCACATCCCATGAATTTGAAGCTGCAGTCTGTAGGAGCTCCGAGATCCTGGCCAAACACCCTGCACTTGGTGTTTGAACTTAAAGTATCTTAGTTCAGTTCTGTTTTGAGGTGGAGTGTGAATTATGCAAATAGAAAGGGGAATGTTTGCTAAATCCCTTGTACTGGGAGGCACTGACCCCTCTTATGATAGAATCTTTTGATTTGGTCAGTGTTCAAGGACAGCTTCACTTACTGCCCATAGGTAGGGGGACCCAGAGAGTAGAGCTTAGTGTTTGTAATTGACCAACAGGCCTGAAGTTCTTTCAGCTTCTGAGAGGGCTGCAGAGTGGGTAAGCTAAGTGACCAAGGCACATGGAACAGAAACCATTTAAGGAGTGTGATGGTAGTAGGTGACATATATTAAAGAGGATTAACATTATCCTCTATTGCAAAGAAAGTATCCGGACTGCTGTCTGCATCTGCCTTGATTCAGAGTATCCACTTAAGACGGAAGATGAGCAACAACAGTGAGTGGGAAGAAACTAATTACTGGGGTCCTCTGTAGATACCAATAACATTGATCCTGTGGAAGAGATTCTACATCGTTAGAATTCTAGGTGGCAAATTGAAAAGCAGACCTCATTAGGTCACAATTTCTGGATTATTGTGTGAGCCACATGCAAGAAAAATGATGAGGTAAACACATGCTTGACTCAAAAACTGGTGTGGGAGAAGTGGTTTCTGGTTCATAGCAGTGGAACTAGTACTGGGGACAGTGAGACCTATAACCATTTGGAATGGTCCCTACCTGAACTGTGATGTGGTTGTTGTTTCAAGCCAGATAACTAGAGAGGTGGAAAATTATTTTTGACCAGTGGTAGCAAAATCCAATTTGGGAACATGTGGCAAACCAAATGAGACCAGACAAAAGAGCAAGGTATTAATGAGAAATGATAAACTCTCTGTGACAGGAGAGGATAGAGTACAAATCAAAATCGGTCAATGTGACTAGAGAATACAAAAGCAATAAAAGGATGAAACCCAAGGTAGAAATAACTTGTGGACGTGATGTACAGGCCCTCTAATCATCTCATGCCCTGTGGAATTCCTCAGTTGAACCTATATTCACCATCATTCTAAACTCTTAAAAAGTTGCTGTGTGAAGGTTTTTTAGCATCGCGTTTGCTGCTTTTCAAATTACTGTAAATCTCTGCCCCTTGATTCTTTATGCTAGCTGTAAAAGATAATGATGAAATTGTTACTATATTGTCAGCACCTGACATCATGTAATTTCTATAAGAACTTTATGAACACTTTTTTTTCCCCTTTATCCTCAGACCTAGAAAACTGAGGATAATTATGATCTTATTGCTGTTTATTCAGTTGATGACTGAGGTACAGTAAACCTGGGATCTCGCCAATCCCAACATTTTGGCTGCTGGTTGTTTTGGAAAGGAGTCAGTATTTCTTTTTCCCCCCTCCCCCTCGTTCTAGGCTTTGTCTGAAGAAAAGGTTATTTTTGAACGTAGCACAAGCAAGTTCATGTATTTGAATGTAGCTGTGCAGGCACTGAAGATCCTGAGGAATCCGACAAATCGAGCACCAGTGACTTCAGATGGTATGTTTTCATGCTATTCTATCCCCATGCAAAGTGGCAATGGACATAATTGAAAAATGTCACACGTATAACTTGACCAATGTTAAGAGCAATGCACACTTGAAGAGCAATGGGTAACTGATTTTTTTTTGTTAGGATTTCTGATACTTTATCAATGATCTGGTTACTGCATTGTACACACACTCCTTGAATCATCTGATATGAATATGTAAAGAATGTTTGTTTGATCTTGAGTTCAGTTTGAAAGCTAACTTTCAGCAATTTGAATCCCACAATATGTATTATCACAATCCGTCAAATTTTCTTAAACTGATCTGTTGGATTGAAGATAAATCACTACTTAATTTATTGGGCCAGTGTGAAATAGCAACTAACCTTGGAAAACTGTGTTTAATTTCTTTTCAAGCTCACCAGTCCTCTAAAAAGAAGAGACTTTCATCAGGAACAATTCTAGAAGGTGAGTTAATCAAGGGTTCTTAACACTATATTTTATCTTGGGAGTGAGATCAGGCTTATTCTTTATCATTTTTTAAAGGAAAGTCCTTTTTGTTTAGTGTTAGTCCTACTCTCATGATCTGGTGTGAAGCACTTTTGGACTTCAGCTAGAACATTGTGTATGGTTCAGGGTGCCACGTTATAGAAAATGCATTGCAGAGAGTGCAGAAGCAGTTTGCAAGTATTACTCCAAGGATGAGGGACTTCACTTATTACGATCATAGATTGAAGTATAGATTGTTCTCCTTGGAAAGAAGGCTAAAAATGAAATCTGATTTAAGATTTACAAAATCATGAAGGTCTGGAAGAGTAGATAGAAGCAAAAGAGCATAGACTTTCTGAACTGCAAAAGAAGCAAGGGGAAAGTGAGGAAAGACTTTCACTTGGTGAGTAATTAGGGTACGGAACACATTGCCAGGAACTGCGGTGGAGGCAGGTTTAATTCAGGTATTCAAGAGGGCATTAGATGATTATTTTGGTAAAAATAATATGCAGGGGCACGGGTATATGTAAGGGGGGAAAAAGCAGGAGATTGACGCTAGTTAACAAACTGTTGCAAGGATAATGGACTTCTGTGATTCTGGTTTTATGCCCAAGTGACAAGGAGCGAATTAGCTCTCCTCGTTCCAACCTCCCAGGTTGGCTGCAACAAAAGATTTATTCCACTTTTGCACGCAGCTATATCTTTCCCCAATTAAAATGAAACAGTGAGACATTGCAAAGAGTGAAAGAGCATATATTTATCTGCTAACCCAAGGGAAAAAAATAAAATTCAACAACAAGCTTTCACATGCAGTTAGGAATTTGTGTCTGATACAAAGGATGAAGTAATGAACATACAGTTTAAAGTCCTTAAGGTGACCTGTTTTGTCTCATTTTGTCAACGGGGTGTGTCACTGGCTAGGTCAGTAATTATTGTCCATCTAAAATTTCCCTGGAAAAAGTGATGAGCTGCAGCCTTTAATGTCTGCAGTCCTTGATGTTGGGGCACCCACAGTACTATCAGAAAGGCAAAGTCAGGATTTTGACTCGGTGACTGTAAAGAAACAGTAAGCCCTGGTTAAGTACTGTTGTGTATCTTGTAAGTGGTACATGCTGCTGCCATCTAATAACTGGTGCTATGAAGTAGGCTGCATAATGCTGGGTGGTGTGAATTTCCTAGCAAGTTGTTAGAACTGAACTCGATCACAATTGTTACTGTGCAGGAGGCCATTCAGCCCATCATGCCTGCACCAGTTCCATTACCTGTTGGAAAAGATTAAACAGGTTGAGGCTAATTTGCAAGAACAGGAGTCTAAGGGGTTAACCTGATTGATCTTTTGAAAAATTTATATGAAGGCTGTCTGGATTGACATAAATGAGCGATCAGAACTAGAAGCAATAAAGGACTAGTAAACTGAATAAGCAATTTGGGTGCCCAGAATAAGGGCCTCACTATCTCCTGGATTGATTGTGAATTATATAGATGCATTTTAAGAGGAAGCTAGCTAAATGCATGAGGGTGAGATGGAGAGGAGGAAGAGGCTTCTGTGGAACATAACTATCAGCATGGACTATCTGAACTGAATTGTTATCTTTACTAATATGTAAAGATGTCAAACAATATTATGATTTGGCCAAGTTTCCAGATTTGAGGACTGCATTAGCACACAGTTCAATTGTGGACCAATGATCTTTCTGGAGACCAAGAAACACTTTCACTTGTAGTGAACTGTGTATACCACAGATGAGAAATGTTAATTCTGTTCTAACCAAGTTTAATGAAAAGTTATAGGAGGCATCGCCTGTAGTAAATCTGTGCCCAGGGATATTTTTCCAAGTCCTGTTCTCAATAGCAGTTGGAGTGTTCCTGAGATGACTGTCATCTAGTTGATTCTGGCTGCACTGTTTATGTCCATTCCTATTGCTGTTTCTGCCCGTTGATATTATATTATAGTTGATTTCAAATGTCACTTTAAACATTTTTTCCTGTCACTAACAAGTTATAGGATGCTTTAATTTTTAATGTCTGTATCTGCAGTCTCCATTATTTAACAGTGCTGTGCTGTGCATTTGGGTTTTCAGTGTTGTGAACATTTTTTTTTTAATGGTCCTTGCTCAGCATTGACTTTAATATTTCTGGATGTTTTGCCAGGCACTTGAGCATTAAACTGGTCAAGACTCAGATGCGTTTTGGCAAGGCATCTGTTTTTATTCCATTAGATTGCAGGAGATTCAGCTTGCTGAACTGATTTGGAATGGAATGTCACCCTTGTGTGGCATTAATTGGCAATTTTGCTGAACAGTCACAGCATGATGCCTGTCATGTGGGCCAAATGCTTAAGGGCTGGGGTATCATTCTTGGCCAGAATAAAGGCACGTTCTGTTTTTTGAGTGATGTAGAACAGCTGTACGGCCTAGGGTCTGCAGATCCTCAGAGGTATGTAGAGGCTTTCCTGGGGTCTGTAATTGTTTTAGGCAGCGGTAGAGTGTTATGACCTGATGTGCATCATACAATGAGGTAGCTGCTTCAACCAGAAGGGGAATATGTATGTGAAGGAACAGAGTAGCAAGCAAGTAAATACCTATTTTATAAAATGTATTTTTAAAAAAAGCTATATCAACATGGGGGGCAATGGCCTGGGGTATTATTGCTGGACTGTTAATCCAGAGACCCAGATAATGTTCTGGGCACCCAGGTTCAAATCCTGCCATGGCAGATGGTGGAATTTGAATTCAATAAGTATCTGGAATTAAGAATCTAACACTGACTATGAATCCATTGTCAATTGCCAGGAAAAACCCATCTGGTTCACTAATGTCCTTTTAGGGAAGGGAAGGAAAGTGCCATCCTTACCTGGTTTGGTCCACATGTAATTCCTGACCCACAGAAATGTAGTTGACTCTTAACTGCCTATAGGCAATTAGGGATGGGCAATAAATGCTGCCTGGTCAGCGAAGCCCTTATCCTGTGAATGAGTAAAATAATTTGCAGATTTTTTGTGCATTGGGAATGTCCACAAATGTCTGGGGTTTGGGGTGGGGACATTCTTCAGTAAATCAAATGAACTACTGATTTTTAAAAAAAATATACTTTACCTTCCTGTACATCCAGGTCAGAAATAGAACAACTAGATACAGTAGAGTCCCCATAGGACCATAAGGCTGCTCTCATTAGAGAAATGTGACTGGTGGTAGTTTAAACTGAGGGTCACCACTCCTTGGGTGAGGTTGAGAAGGTCTGACCTTCGTGATACTTCCCATGCTGGCTGAAGTTGAACCCATCACTCTGCATCTCAAACTGGCCATCCAGCCAACTGAACTAACTGCTCCCTCCTCCCTTCACCCCACAATTACCTGGGTGTTCTTGATTATGGAGACTCTGCTTTCCAGCATGAAAAGAAAAATCTGTTGCTGTAAATCAATATCTTGTATTCCAATACCATGGCAGATGAAAATGTTCCTCTCTTTGCACCAAACATCTGATTTTGAGTATAATATTTTTAAACTCTACAGGTGCTGCACTTTATAGTGTTCTCAAGAGCTATGTCTTAACTGAAGGACAGTTGAAGGAAAATGGATATCCTCAACGTGACCCTGAAAACCCAGGAATTGCTCTACTCTTCAATGGCGAAGCAAATAAATATATTGCTGACTGTGAGTGTGAAGTGGTTCTATTTTATTATGTCTGAAAAATATCATTAATACTACAGCAAAATCTGCATAATGGCATACTTACTGTAACTGAGTTTTAAATACACATTTGTTTAATGTGTGTGTTCATTCAAAAAGCTCATGTAGCACACTTTAAAAATAGCTCATTAGAACTTTATCCATAAAATAAGTATCCACAGCGGCAGATGAGAAAATAAAGCTTTCTCTCAGTCTGCATTTTCAACACCCTTTTGTCTCTTTGCTGTTGTCTCACTTGATCCTGAAGCCCTTGCCATTGGTTGGTGTTATTCTCTCGATAAATAATGCTGAATTATGATCAACTATTTAAGTGTATTTGTCCATGACCATCCTTTATAAACACCAAAGATTTCGCCTAGTTCTTGATTGTTGGCTTCTTGTACTTTTTGCCCTACCATTTAATGACTGTCTTCAATTGTTTGTCATTCTGAGATGTCCTCAGCTTCTTCATCACCTAAGTCACCTGAAATTTAATTCCTTTAAGCAAGGTTTTGGCTGTCCCTCCTCCTATCTCAGCCCTCCTATATTTGATCCAATTGTATCCCCTAAGCATGTTTTTGGAGCGCCTGATGTCAAGCTGCCAGCCGTTGTGCATTTTTCTTTGTTTTTTGATTTAAGCCTGTTCAATGTTTTTAATGGTACCAAATAATTCTTTACTGGAGCTTGGTTTGTAAATAGCCTTAGTTGTAATTAAGCTAGTTGGCCAGTAGATGCTGCTATAAGTAAATAAACTAATTCGTGAACCTTTGCACATGTTAGTGTCACTTCAAGATGAATCTAATATTGAATTGTTATGTTGAGCCAGGCCTCTTTTTTTTTTTAAATTAGTTCATTGTATTTCAAGTGTAAAATTTTCAATTCTTTCAATGTTTAAAATGGCAATTCTTTTTATAATTTCATTGTTGAATACTTGGAGTAGAGATTCTGCTCAGTTGTGCTGATTTCTTTCTTCCCCCACAATACAATCGGCTACACACTAAACCAATACAAGGTCAAGGAATTTCAAAATTGACATTTCTATCCAAAAGAATAAGCTTTCCATTTTTTTCTTAGTTTTGAAAGATTTGCCTGAAATCTGGTCATGCTCCCAGAGAAATTAATCATAGTGACAACTTTCAATTTAATTACACTGATTTGCAACCCCTCAAGAATAACTTGTAAAATATGATTTAAGGGTTAAGGGAATTAGCTGTCACATTTCAATGAGATTTTTGAATCTGCTGAGAAGTTGTGCACCAATTAAATAAGCAAGTAGTGTTAAAATATGTGACGGTTTCAAGTATGTATTCAAGTTGTTTTTCGTTCATTCATGGATCGTGGGTGTTGCTGGCTGGCCATTTTATCGCCATCCCTAGTTGCCCTGAGAAAGTGGTAGTGAGCTGAGACCTTTAAACTGCTGCAGTCCACGTACTGCAGGTAGGTCCACAATGTCCATAAGGAAGGAATTCCAGGATTATGACGCAGGAATGGTGAAGTGATTCATGTCAAAGACAGGATTGTGAGTGGTTTAGAGTGGATCTTGCAGGTGGTGGCATTCCTATGTACCTGCTACCCTTCACCTTCTAGGTGAAATTGGTCATGGGTTTGGAAGGTGCTATCTGAGGATTTTTGCTGAAATTCTGCAGTGTTGTAGATTGTACACACTTCAATTATTGAGTGTTGGTGGTGGAGGGAGTGGATGCTTGTAGATGAGATGCCAATCAAGTGGGCTGTTTTGTCCTGAATGGTGTCAAGCTGCTTGTGTGTTGTTGGAGCTCCACCCATCCAGGCAAGTGGAGAGTATTCCATCACATTTGTGACTTGTGCCTTGTAGATGGTGGACAGTCTTGGGGGACTCAGAAGTTGAGTTGCTTGCAGCAGAATAGAACAGGTTTTGGGATTTGGGAGGTAAGTTACTGACCATAATATTCCTAGCCTCTGACCTGCTCTTGCAGCTACTGTGTTTGTTTGTTTGTTTGTTTGTTTGTTAGTTAGCTAGTTATCCAGTTGAGTTTCTGGTCAATGGTAAACCCCCCAGGATGTTGATAATGGGAGATTCAGTAATGATAACACCATTAAATATCAAAGGGTTGCAGTTGGACTGTCTGTCTCTTATTGGCGATGGCCATTGCCTGGTGCATTTGTGTAGTGTGAATGTTACTTATCACTTGTCAGCTCAAGCTTGGATGTTATCTAGATCTTATCACATTTGAATATGGACTGTTTCAGTTTGAGTTATCATGAATGGTGCTAAATATCCCCACATCTAACCTAATGATGGAGAGAAGCCTGAAAATGGTTGGGCCTAGGACACTACCCTGAGGAACTCCTGTAGAGATGTCCTGGGCCTGAGATGACGAAGCTCCAACCACCGCAACCATCTTTGTCTGTGCAGATTGTCTCTAACCATTTGAGAGATGGCTCCCTGCTACTCATTGATTCTAGTTTTGCTTGGGCTTCTTGATGCCACATTTCTATCTAGCCTTGATGTCAAGAGCTGTCACTTTCTTATCTCACCTCACCTCTGGAATTCATGTTTTTTTTTTAAATCCATGTTTGAACCAAAACAGTAATGAGGGCAGGAACTGCGTATCCCTGGCAGAACCCAGACTGGGCATCAGTGAGCAGGTTATTGCTGTACAGTTGGTGCTTGACAGCAATGTTGGTGACACTTTTTGTCACTTTACTGATAATCAGGAGTATACTGATGGGGTGGTAATTGGCTGGGTTGGATTGTTCTGCTTTTTGTGTACATGACGTAATTTGGGTTATTTTTCACACTCCGATGCCAGTGTTGTAACTGAAAGGAACAGCTTGGCTAGAAGAGCAGCAAGTTCTGGCGCACAAGTCTTCAGTACTGTTGCTAGAATATTGTCAGGGCCCATAGCCTTGGCAGTATCCATTGCCTCCGATTTGGTTTTTTTAACATCATGTGGAGTGAATTGATTTGGCTGAATGGACTCTGTGACGCTGGAGCCTACAGGAGGTCCACATGGTGGATTTACATTGATTTTAAAATCATCATTGCATCTGAGCTAATTTCCAGATATACTAATCAAAATGCATCGTGTAGACAAGTGGTAGTGTGAGAGCATTTTTGTTTTAAAAATCACTGGCCACAATGTGCACTTAACTGCAGCTGCAGTCTGTTTTCTGGCATTTTTGGCCTTTGTTAATATAGTCGTTTCCAAGAATATCTCGTCAAACATGGTGTGTGAAAAATAATGGTTGGAAGTGCTATTATGTTGTTGCCTTTGCGAGGACCTGTTCAATCTTAACAAGAAAATTTCCAGAGATATCAAGGTGTAGAGCTGGATGAACACAGCAGGCCAAGCAGGAAGGCTGACGTTTCGGGCCTAGACCCTTCTTCAGGGCCTAGACCCTGCTGTGTTCATCCAGCTCTACACCTTGTTATCTCTGATTATCCAGTATGTGCAGTTCCTACTATCTCTAAGAAAATTTCCAAGTTTATTTATCAAATCTACAATTATCAACGATCCTTCAGTAAGGTTAGTATTTGTGATGTATGGTCTTTTCCTGCCTTTCTCCTGATTTTTTTTTTTAAGTCGTCACCAGTTCATTTTTTTTTCATTCCTTCTTAAACATCTACCACAATAACCAGGATAGATTAGGTTGTTTTTTGAATTCTATCAGTTCATGTCGTTGTTAGTGAAACAACGGCAAGAGTCTCAGTCCCTGTGCTGTAGATTCAGCAGATATATACAGGGTGGATGTCTTTGTTACCTGAGATGTGACGGATTGGGATGACACAGCTTGGTTGCAACAATAGAACAGCAAATGGAGCTTTGGAAATGGGTGCAATCGTTCTCTAAACCAGGAGATATGAGGACGGTGAAGGACTGTAGTAAGCTCCAGATCACCACCTTGCCATGCCTTCATGGGTAGGGTAGGGGCATGAGCATCAACATTTCATAGTGGACTTTTAATTTCAGATTTGCGCTACAAAGAATAATAGCTGGGAGGAATAATGTAACATTAATATAAGTGGTTCAAACATTGACTTTTTCAATGGATATCCTGACTAAACCTTTTGATGCAATCTCTCTGGTCTCCCTTTATTAATATAAATCCTTGGTCAGATTTGCATTTAAGTCCTGTTCTTGCATTTGGTTAATATTGGAGTTTTCAGTTAGATTTTATACAAATAGATTTCTGGCCCTGATCATCATTGTCTGTTAGCATGTCAGAAATACCAATGGTGAACAAAATAATAGCACAGTTGAACTGAAGAAAGTGAAGAAATTCTAGGATGCTAAAACAGAATTACTATCCTGAAAGGACTTGCTGTCAATCAGTGCCGGAAAAGTGAAAACAAAACTGAGCGTATCTAGCATAAGGTAATTTTATAAAAACCGAAAGAACTGCGGATGCTATGAATCGGGAGCAGAAACAGAAGTTGCTGGAAACTCGGCAGGTCTGGCAGCACCTGTGAATGTTTCTGGTCCGGTGACCCTTCCTCAAACTTCTGAAGAAGGGTCACCAGACCCGAAACGTTAACTGATTTTTTTTCCTTCAAGTTGTTTTTGGATGTACAGATGTTGACCATTTTTCTGTATTCAAATTCTTATTAACAAGTAATCCATGGGTGAATTTTTAAGTAGACTGGAGTTTTAAGATTAACATAAACAAAAACAAATTGCTGGAAAATCGCAGCAGGTGTGATGGTACCTGTGGAGAGAAATCAGTTGATGTTTTGGGGCTGGTGACCCTTCCTTGGAACTGATAGTTAAGAAAATGTTTTCTCTTATGCAGAAGATAAGGTGTGGAAAAGGATAAGGAATAAATGATAGGTGGAGACAGAGCCCAAGGGAAGAGAAGAACAGTTGGACAGACAAGGGAGCGGATAACAATCTGGCTAATAGGATGAATAGCTATTAATGGGGACTTGGTGGCTAACAATGAGCTGTCTGTAACAGCAGATTGTGATAACAAGGCCTGGTGTGTGTGGGGGTTGCGGCAAGTACATGGGCAAGCTGAAGCCCTAAAGTTATTGAACTCAATTTTGAGTCTAGAAGGCTGCCGTGTCCCTAAGTGGAAAATGAGGTGGTGTTCTTCCACCTTGGTACTGAGCTTTGCTGGAACACTGGCCAATGTTGGCTAAGGAACAGGTGTGTTGAAGTGGCAGGCAACTGGAAGCTCGGTTTCTTTTTGTGAGTAGAACGTAGATGTTCAGGGTAGCTGTCACCCAGTCTGTGCTTCATTTCCTCAACGTAGAGGAGACCACAGTGAGCAGGGAATGCAGTAGACTAGATTGAGTGAAGTACCAGTAAAGCACTGCTTCACCTGGAACTTATATTTGGGGCCCTTGGATAGTGAGGAAAGTAAATAGACAGGTGTTACCGCTTTGGTTGCAGGGGAATGTGCCATGGGGCTGTGGGAGGTGCCTGTTGGGAGTGAAGGAAAGGTGGACCATGGTGTCCTGGAGGAAATAGTCTCCACAGAAAGCAGACAAGGGAGGGGAAGGGAAATGTCTGGTGGTGGCATCTCACTGGAGGTGGTGGAAATGGTGGTTAATGATTTTCTGCATGTGGATGCTGGTGGGATGGTAAGTAAGGACAAGGGGAACCCCATCACTGTTGCGGCAGGGAAGAGAGGAGTTGAGGGCAGAAGTGTGGGAGATGGGTCGGACCCAGTTGAGGGCCCTGTCAACAACAGTGCTGGGGAATCCTCAGTTGAGGAAGAAGGTGGACATTTTGGAGGCTCCGTTATCAAAGCTGGCATTCTTGGAACAGATGCGATGGAGACGGAGGAACTGGGAGAATTGAATAGTCCTTACATGAAGCAGGGTGTGAGAATGTATAGTCAGGGTAACTGTGGGAGTCGGTGGGTTTATAGTGGATATTGGTGGCCAGTCTATGATCAGAAATGGAAACACCTGTCTAGGAAGGGAGGAGTCAGATTGTGAAAGTGAGGGCAGGGTGGATATTGGAGGGAAAATCAAACTTTCCAGTTCTGGATGAGAGGGAGGCAGCACTGATATCATAGATACGTTGGAGAATGAGTTGTGGTTGGAGGCTGGAATAGAACTGGAACAAAGAATGTTCTACGTACCCCACAAAGACAGGCATAACTGGAATCCATGTGGGTACCCATGGCCCACCCCCTCTGATGTGAAGGAAGTGAGAGGAGTTAAGAGAAGTTGTTCAGGGTGAGGACAAGCTCAGCCAGGCGGAGGAGGGCGGTGGTGAATGGAGACAATTCAGGCCTTTCCTCCAGGAAGAAGCGGAGCCATGAGACTGTCCTAGTGTGGGATGGATGTATAAGGAGATTGCATGTCCATGGTAAAGAGGAAGCAGCTGGACCCCATGAATTTGAAATTCTGAGACCGGAGTAAGGTGTCTGAGGAATGGTGGATGTATGTGGGCAGTGACTGGACCAGGGAGAAAAGACCCAGTTAAGGTCAGAAGAGATGAGTTCTATGGGGCAGAAATGATGTGTCTGCCTGGGCAGCCCTGCTTGTGGATTTTGAGAAGGAGGTAGAAGTGAGTTATGTGGGGTTGGGGAACTATCAGCTTGGAGGCAGTGGAGTGGAGAGATCATCAGATGAAATAAGGCTGGTGACTGTAGTTGCCTGATGTTCCATTGAGTTTAAAGGAGAGATGGGAGGTATGAGAGTTGGTGCTGAAGCTAATTTGTGTTCATCCCAGTTGAATCTTTGAGCTGACTAAGCAGCCATGAGTGCAGCAGCTTCTTTCCAACAAGGGCATTAGCAGGTAAACTATCACCATTTCACTATCCAAGTGACAAGATTGGCTTGCTGTGTACTGTATTTTTAGTCCATTTTTATTTTCTGGGATCGTCAAGATTTGGGTTGGTTTGTACTTCCACGACCATGAGTTTTTTTTTTTTTGTGACCTTTGGCATTATGTAAATGGTGTCTTCATCGGAACAGAAGATTCAGGTTGTAATCTTTCTCATTTCAGCATTGATCCAGGTTTGCTGTCGTTGTGGGAGACCATTCTCTGTAACACCTGATGGGAGTTATATCTCCAAGGAAGAATGTAGCCACCACTGGGGTAGGACAATAAAACGGCAAGGTGAATATTGTGTAGAAATTCAATACGTATATAAAATACACTAAAACAGTGTTGCTGTCAAGTGTGTCAATAGGAGAGGAAAACCCTCCTTTCCCCATTCACGATTATGGTATACCATGAACCATACACTCTTTAAATAAAATTTTGATCAAACCTTTCTGCCAAAACAATGAATTTGATCTTTATGAATGCTTAAATTGTCCAAAAACTTAAGGAGAGATGCTGGTTGAAAATGGTAGCGCACCCTTGACTTCCCTGCATTTGTCACGCCTTTAAATATACCAAAGGAAGTTGGGTCTGGGACTTGTCCTTTATAAGGAGACGAATAGAGATTGGTTGGTTGCTGCAATGGCACTCCACACTTTCACTCCTGAGACTCCTTTTGAACTATTCCTTAACTTCTGTATATAGTAAGCTAGGATTTAACTAATTTTTTCCCCAGCTTTAAAACTTAACTGAGTTATTTCCCTATGCATATCTGGTTTGACTTTATTGTGATTTCCTTCCCCATTTATTCTGGTCTTACCTTTAGCTTTCCAGTTAAGGGACGGCTGTTGGTTCCATTGTTCATTAAATCCAAAATGCCCCCATTGCCCTTGCTATGTCATTATCAACAATGATGTAAATTGTGCAGTACAGACTTTGTGATCAAGGCATGCTGGAGATGCCTCATTCCACCCAATAACTGAATTACACACTGTGCAAGGTATTTGATATATCATGTTTTTCACTACCTCTTATATAGAGAAACCAGCCTATATTTCTATCATACAAATATAAAACAAAATTGTGACTTTATTCTGAATTGCATTACCTTCCTAGCCAGAACTATTTGGTTAACTGTTGAAAATGACCATAAATACTGCACACAGTATTGAGTGGGTGATTAATGTGAAAGAGTTTCACATCAACTAAACAATAAAGTGGCTTCATAGACAATATTTACATAGAAGAATTTTGTACCATTGTACATTGGAAAATATTGCTGGTAGAAGATGATTTTTATGAATCACAATTTAAATTGTATTTCATTAGTAAGCTGGTTATCTTAGATACTGAACATAATTAGAATTGAGACTTGATACAACTGAATGCAAATTGCAAACATGAATTTGCAATCACAGGTGGTTGAATAGATTTTAAATATGTAGCTTATTCTTTTATAATTTTCTGTTCATGGAATGTGGACATCATGTCTAGAATTAGTGTTTATTCCTGTCCCTAATTGAGCTGGATAAGGTGGTACAGAGATGCTGCCTTGAACAGCTGCTACCCATAGTGTTGTTGAAGGAATTTGGTACAGGTCACAGGTTTGGAAGGTGCAGGGGAATGAGCCTCATTGAATAACAGCAGTGTATCTTGTAGATAGGGCAAACAGAGTGGATCGTGTGTTGATGAAGGGAGTGAGTGCTTAAAGGTAGTGGTTGGGGTACCAATCGCACTGCTTTGTTCTGAATTATCAAATGGCTTAAATGTGATTGGAGCTGCACCCATCCAGGCAAATGGAGCATATTTCATCATATGCTGGACTTCTGCCTTGTAGATGGTAGACATGCAATAGAGAGACTGGAGGGGAGTTGCTTGCATCAGAATTCCTTGTCTCTGACTTCTTAGCCATAAAACATGGCTAATTCAGTTCAGAGAGATGTTGAGGGTTGTGCACTTTTAGGACTTTCTCCACTTTAGGCGGAGATTGAGGAGGAGGCATTAAATACTGTTAAAGTGATATAGATCCTTTAGGCAAGGGAATCAGATTGGGAGTAGATTGATTCATGTTTTGCAATTTACATTTCAATCAGCCATGAATTTATTGAATGGTGAGCAGGCTTGATGGTCTAATTGGCCTATATCTGCTGAGGTCATATTTTTGTAGTGCAGGTACAAGGGCAGGCATACGGACCATACGTTCCAATGCCTTTGTGTAAAACAGCATGGATCTTTGGCTGCTCTTAACAAGGAAGATGCTAACAGTGTTTGCAAAACACAACACAATGTCTAATATTAGACATGATTACGCAATTGGACAATTCTGGAGGATTGAAAATTCTCACAATGTCACTTGTTTTATTTTCTTGAAGCAACATCTATTCATATAAATCCCAGAAGCAGAAATAAATCTTTTTCAGGCTGGCAAGATGTAACAACTTTGCCACAGTGATTTGTGCTGCAACCTGTACTGTTTACAATTTACATCAATTGAAGGGACAGAAGGTATGGTCACCAAACTTGCTGGTGACTCAAATGGGTCAAAGCAAGTTTATGTGAAGAAGGCATAAGATGACAAAAATAATTGGAAGTTAAGAGTGGGCAAAAATGTGTGGAAAATGTGCAATTGTCCATTTTGGCAGGAAGAATAAAAAAAATTTATATTGTGAAATGATTGCAGAAGGATACAAATGTTTGAGTGCAATAAGCATAACTAGGAAAACTAATGGAATGTTACTTATCCTGGATGGAAGTGAACTGAGGTCATGCATCAGTCATACAAGACTTTGGGACCCCATTTGGAGTATTATGCTCAAAACTAGTCACATTAGCTAAGGAAGCCTGTAAATATCTTGGAAGCAGCTCAGAAAAAAGTTTTTTCCAGGTTAATACCTGGAATGGAATGTCATCTTACGATAGGTTGGGCAGGCTCCTCCTTGAAGTTGAAAAGAGGTGTAAGGGGTAACTTGATTGGAAACAAGATCCTGGGGGATCTTGACAGGCTGGATGTGGAGTGAATGTTTCTTATGGGAGAATCTAGAACTCCATTTTTCTGTTTTTTAAAAATAATTTTCATATAGATTAGGAAAATACTTATTTTTGAGGATCATTAATCTCCAGTTCTCTACCTGAAAAGATAGGACAGGCAGTTATTAAAGTTTTGACGGGTGGATAGAGGTTTGTTAAAGTAGGGGTTAAAAGGTTCTCTGGGTAGGCAGTAATGTCAACCTTGAGGTTACAATCTGATCAGCCACTTTCCTCGTGCATGACAAAGCATGTTCAATGAGCTGAATAACCTACTACTTATGTTCATTTTGCACGGACCAGTTTGTTGCAAGAAAGAAAATGTCCAGGCGTTGTACCTTTCCTAAAACGAATTAAGAGGACAGGGCAAAAGTTCCCTGGACCAATCAGCATCCTTTTACACATGCAGTATGAATAGTCCTCCTTTTGACATTCTTGCATTTGTCTTGATGAGTGCAAGGCAGCAGAAAAGCTTTGACAACATTTCCCATTTTTGCGATACCCAATTCTGTACTACCAAGAATTTTGTTTTTGAAAGCTGACTAGTGTCTTTTTCGAACTTCCTTTAGTATTGTGGTAGTTGGCATCTCTGCTTTATTCTTGCTCTGATACATGACAGTTCACATTATTTCTGTGATCCCAACCTTCTTAACTAACTCTTTACCTCTGTATTCAAAGTTTGTTGACTACTAATTTTCTTCTCAATCTGCCATATGTTATCAATCTCTTTAATATGAACCAGCCTTATTGTCTTTAAGTTTGTCCTTGGTTTCTTCCTTTTATTTGCTATTGACTATCATTCTCCCATTATGATAGTTTTGTATGGAGTTAAATATTTTTGTAACACTGAACAAAACGTATATTCTGTTCTCCAATTGCTATTCCTAGGACACAAATCACAATGAGCAGTAAGCTACAATAAACTCTGTTCAATTCCAGTGTCTGGTGGATGGGATGCTCGCTACAGTTGCTGTGGAGGATCCTTAGGCTCTGTTGGATGCCAGCTTGCTAAGGTATTTTTTAAAAAAAACAAATGAATTGTCTGTTAGGTTTTTTTTTCTCCAGTTTTGGGTAGGAATTTTCTTTTCCATCTGAATTGTTTTAAAGTGTAAATGTTGATGATCCAAGACACCGGTACAGTTTTGAAGGTAGCTGAGAGAAATTTTCACATGATGGTAATAGCCAGCCATAACTTTTTATTAGAATCTCCCAAACCCTTCACTACAGCCTCTGTTAACAGCCTGCTTGAGTGGCATTTGGTTTTGGATGACTTGAAATTTCCTCCACCAGTGAAAGCATTGGCAAAGCCAAAGACATGATCTTCAGCATACACCTCAAACTCTATAGCCCAGGCCCGACCAGTCCCCCTCCAGTGACATCCTCATCCGCTTAGCCGACCTCGTCCTCACCCTCAACAACTTCTCTTTCAATTCCTCCCACTTCCTACAGACAAAGGGGGTGGCCATGGGTACCCACATGAGCCCAAGCTACGCCTGCCTCTTTGTAGGTTACGTGGAACAATCCCTCTTCCGTATCTACACCGGCCCTAAACCCCACCTCTTCCTCTGTTACATTGATGACTGCATCGGCGCCACCTCGTGCTCCCACGAGGAGCTCGAACAGTTCATCCACTTCACCAACACCTTCCACCCCAACCTTTAAGTTTACCTGGACCATCTCTAATACCTCTCTCCCCTTCCTGGACCCCTCTGTCTCCATATCGGGCAACCACCTAGAAACCGATATTCATTTCATGCCCACCGACTCCCACAGCTACCTAGAATACTCCTCCTCCCACCCACCTTCCTGCAAAAATGCTATCCCCCATTCCCAATTCCTTCGCCTCCGCCGCATCTGCTCCCAGGCTGAGGCATTCCACTCCCGTACGTCTCAGTTGTCCTCGTTTTTCAAGGACCGTAACTTTCCCCCCTTCAGTGGCCGAGAACGCCCTCAACCGTGTCTCCCACATCTCCCGCAACTCATCCCTCACACCCCGTCCACGCAATAAGAACCAAAAAAGAATCCCCCTCGTCCTCACGTACCACCCCACCAACCTCCGGATCCAACGCATCATCCTCCGACACTTCCGCCATCTGCAATCCGACCCCACCACCAAAGACATCATTCCCTCCCCACCCTTATCTGCTTTCCGGAGGGACCACTCTCTCCGTGACTCCTTTGTCCGCTCCACACTCCCCTCCAGTCCCACCACACCCGGCACTTTTCCCTGCAACCGCAGGAAGTGCTACACCTGCCCCCATACCTCCTCCCTCACCCCCATCCCAGGCCCCAAGAAGACTTTCCACATCAAGCAGATGTTCACCTGCACATCTGCCAATGTGGTATACTGCATCCGCTGTACCCGGTGTGGCTTCCTCGACATCGGGGA